TTTTTTTTTTGAATATTTGATTTATTTACTGAGCACTGGCTATAGAGCCATCAGATCATTTTTAAAATGTAACAAATAATTAAAAATCTCAAAACGTTAATAATTACACTTAAAAATTTTTACTGCCGTACACCATATAAACTAAATAAACCATACGTTTATTCACTGAGGTACACGTGATAAACCATTTTTTGCCCATGCGAGCGAGCGAGCAAAGTCGAGTCCACCCAGAACCGACATGGGTCATTTGGGTTAGAACACGACAATAAACTACGATAGTCGTTTCTTGTAAACCACCCAAAACGACTTGAGCAAATTTAAAAAGTTGTAAATCTCAAAAACTATGCACCTTGTCACTTTTGTTCCTTTGCAGGAGGAACTCCCCCGTCCCCTCACCCTCGCCCCGCTCCAATATGTTATCTTTCTATCTATACATATTATGTTATATTTTCGTAGGCGCCCGCTATGTCCGTGAAGTACTTCCCGGCGAGATTGTGGAGATGTCGCGTCATGGCATTCGTACGGTGGACGTAGTGGAACGGCCACCCGGCAAGCAACAGGCCTTTTGCATCTTCGAGTACGTCTATTTCGCTAGAGCAGACAGTATGTTTGAAGGTACGTCAATAGAGTAAGTTAGCAGCGGTAGAGGTCCTTGTGAAAGAAGAGGTCCAGGGAAGTACTGCCACTGCTGCCGCCAAGCAGTAATGTGAGCATTACTGTGTTCCGGTTTTGAAGGGTAAGGGTGCACATTACAGGGCAGTGGCAGTGTCCTCAGACCGTATATACATACATACGCACACACCACACACACACACACATGCACGCACGCACGCACGCACGCACGCACGCACACACATATTATACAATACATATACACACATAATATATATTTAACTGCCTCTCTGGCCGAACGGTTACCATGCCGGACTGCCTCGCAGAGGTCCTAGGTTCGATTCCCGGGCCGGGAGAAATATTTGTATGGCCTACATTTATTTCTCTCGTGAGTTTGGGTGTAATTTGTGTTTGTTTATGTATGTGTCCATGGCACCCGCAACACAGGGTTTCCCTAGTGTGGAGCTATGTTGAGTGTGTGCGTTATTTAATCTTTTATATATAATCTGTTTTTCAGTAATATTGGGCCACCAATCCAATTCTTTTTTATTAATTACTGACTTCTACTCAGAAAGTGTTACATTTTGTTGCGGTCGAATTCCAATACAATAATCACATGACATTGGGATGGTCTACGATTTGTCAACTTATCGCGGCAGACACGATTCTTTTTTTCAAACCATCTTCAGGATGAATTAGATGTTTTTGAGATAGGCCATTATTCTAGAAAACCATCGGTATGTATGCATACTATATGATTATACGTTTATTTAATACGTTTCAAATTTTGCCGTTGGCACACTGCGTCTTCCGCTCTGTTTAGCTTTCCTCTGCCTCGACAGTTGTCTGGAAGAAATCGCCCTCAGCGATAAGATCGCCTTTTCCTACATTAGTTTTAAGTGCAAAAAAGTGTGTATCTATTCTCTCTTTAGAACAGATTCATGCTCAGCAGTGACATGTTTAGTGGGTCGACGATGTAATCGACATTATTTTAAAAAAACAAACAAACGAATGGTCATGGAATGTGCAGGTCAGATGGTGTATTCCGCGCGGATGCAGTGCGGGCGCATGCTGGCGCGGGAGTCGCCGATCGACGCCGACATCGTGTCGTCCGTACCCGAGTCCGGTACAGCCGCGGCTCACGGCTATGCGCGACAGGTATATTTTGTCAGATTACTATTCACTCTTTACTTTATACAGAACTAACCTGATTCTAAATTAAAGTAACTTAAAATAACGACTATACCAAGTCTTCAGTCCTATATATTTTCGATACCTCCGTTACGTAGTGTTTTTTTTTCAACTTTATTTTTTGGTTATTATCTGTTATTTCTGTAAACAGCCATATTAATTTTGTAACATTCTGCTTAATAAAATTTTTGAAAAAATAAGCAGACACAAAATTCTAAAAAAGAAAAACAAAATAAAAAACGAATTTTGTGAAATAATAATAATAAAGAAAGAAAAAACAAAATAAATACAGAAGTGGTCCAAAAATTAAGTTTTCACTTCTTATGCTCTTAAAGTTCGTATTTATGCTGGGTGTAGCCTGCAAAAAAAAAAGGATTTTATGCTCCAGTCATTGACTTACAAATATTAAGTCAATGGCTCCAGTGCATAAAATAAAAAAACTATTGCATTAAATTTGTCTAATTGTTGTAATTTTACATTCAATTATAATTAAATAATCGTTTATTTGTAGTATTCCTGTTTAATTTCCTCGCAATCGAAGTGAAAAGCAGAGTGTATAACTCGTTCATAAAACCCATTTTATCCTCGACTTAAGTATCCACCAGGATATACTCGTCATAATATAACGCGTTTTATGCACTTGTTGTACAATCTACTATGGTGTAGTGTTCATTGGAGGCATCGCGTATTTATAACCAGAAATAGAGACGAAATAAGCGCCATCTATCTCTGGCAACTCATCAGGTAAATGGGCCTTAAATTTGTTTTAAATATCAACTCTCGTTTGCGCCGAAATCACAAATTAGAAAACTGAAATAATACAGCGTCAACAACTGACCTGTGTGTACGTCTCCGTATGTTCCAAAAATATTCTGTATTTATTGTAATAAAGATAATGTCTCTAACAATAGGGACTGTTCCAATTGGTGGTGTGGGAAAAACAGCAAAACATCTATTTACGAAACAAACGGGTAAACGGAACCACATTTCATCGGTAACTAAATATGTAATTTTGCAATTTTTGTCCATTATAGTGAAGCTCAAGTTAAACTGGTCGATTTAAAGTGAATTCGGGCTGGCCAATCGGAGCGCAGTTGTCACAGTAATGATTTGGCGGAATAGTTTTCAAACAAATTAAATAACATTTCGTCTCTATTTCTGGTTATATACTCGATGATTGGAGGTGTCGTTTTATAGGCATTAGGCCTCGTCTTCCGTGGGTTATGATAATCCGAGTGGAGTCAATTCAGGGAATATAGAGTTCCAATAGATACCCCAGGGTCAAGGTGCTGTCATTATGAAACATCGTATTAAAACGTAAATTTTCTTCTAGTCTGGAATCCCGTTCATGGAAGTGCTCTGCAAGAACAGATACGTGGGCCGTACTTTCATCCAGCCGTCGACGCGTCTGCGGCAGCTTGGCGTCGCCAAGAAGTTTGGCGCACTGTCCGAGAATGTCCGCGGGAAGAGGATAGTACTCATCGACGACTCCATCGTGAGAGGCAACACTATTGGACCCATCATTAAATTGCTCAGAGACGCTGGGGCGGCGGAGGTGAGTCGTGTACACCTGGCTACTTTTGTATTTTACTCAGGGCTTGGAATATCGGTATTTTTAGGAACCGGTATCACTTAACTTGGTACAGTACCGGTACTTAGATGCTACTGGTATAAATCATACCTGTATTTTTCGCAACCGGTGCCATTAACTTTAATACGATACCTTGGGGCCTACCACAACCTCTTAAAACAATATTACTTTAAACTTACATTGACTTTTCGTACCATTACGCGCTTAAAGTAAGCGTCATGATATTAAAACTATGATGTTTTATAGGCAGCTTTGTGACTATTCATTCACTCAGTTCGTACATAGGGCGCACTATAAGTTTCCGGAACTGGCCACTTACATAAACAATATTTAAAAGTAATTACAACATTTATTTGAAAATTGGAACTATTTGGCTGTAGAATACAGTTTGTTTCATCTGACTGTCACTTGTTTTTACATTGTGGCGTTATTTTAGAAATTGGTTGTCTACATCATCATGGATTTAACTCGTGAAAATTTTCGTAATATGATTTTTTACGACTTTAAGTGTAGTTTAACAGCTCAGCGGAGTTTCGCTCGGTTTCAAATTGCTTTTGGCGATGAAGCACCATGTCGTGTCGTCGAAGTCGTTTGAATCCCAGTAACGAATTTCGTGATGGTCGCCCGTCCACTGCTGTGAACAACAAAAACATCGACGTTGTGCGCCGTATGATCAAAACAGATAGGCATGTGACATACCATGAGATTCGGGCATCTTTAGGCATACGCATGTGTCAAATACAATCAATGCTACACAAACATTTGGGTGTGAAAAAGCTGTGCTCTCGGTGGATCTCACACAATTTGACTGAGTCTCAAAAAACGGATCGCGTCACTTGGTGCAACGCCATGCTTACCAGATTCAACGAAGGGGCGTCAAATTTGGTGTGGGAAGTAGTAACATAGGGTCTTTCGAGATAAGCCGAAACCAACCAGTGGCGCGCGTGCAAAGTGCCTCGAAGCGGATGATTGCTTCTTATTTTAATAAAACTGGACACGTGGCTACTGTTCCTTTGGAGAATAGTTGTACCGTGAATAGTGATTGGTATACGACCATTTGTTTGCCGGAAGTTGACAAACCGTAAACGCCGTATCATCTTGCACCACGATAATGCCAGTTCTCACACGGCCAGACAGACAAATGAATTTTTGAAGGTGAACAACGTTGTCCTTATGAGCCATCCCGCGTACAGTCCCGACCTGGCACCTTGTGAGTTTTATTTATTTCCAAAAATTAAGAACCTTCATCACCTAAAAAAGAGTATGAAAAATATGTTTCAGAGATTGTCACGGAGGAGTGGCAGAAATGTTTTCAAAATTGGTTCATTCGTATGAAAAAGTGCATTAACGCTGGCGGAGAATATTTTAAGAAACAATAAATTCATTTCTGACCATTTATAGTATTTTTTCTTATTCGTTCCGGAAACTTATAGTGCGTCTCACGTACTATGACGCGACTTTAACATTAAAGTAATATTGTTTTTATGTCAAATTTAGCAATCTTAAAATAGTTACACGGATGCAATGGAAACAATATTATTTTCAGTTTTATTGTCTTAACATTGATCTGTAATTATTCAATGTTAAGTTATTTATTTATTTATTTTTTCAATATTTTGTTTATTTTTTTATTTAATAGTACATAGAAAAGAATTATCTTTAAATAAAATACGCGATGTTTATTTCGTAAAATTATGGCAGCAACATCTTTAAGCTCCTTGGCGACACTAACAGTTGACACTAGACTATAATTCCGAATGCACAACGTGACAATCAAGACTGAGCATGTTTTATTTATTTTTCTCCATGAAAATGCGGAAAAATAATTGAAAACAACGTAATTTTAATAGATTTTACTATTACGTACTTTTCGTTTAATAACAGTAAAAAATCTCTGAATGTAAATAGCATTAAGTACATAAACATCATACCACGATAAGACGATTCGGAACATCAAAAAAGAAAGAGATGGCATTATATAGTTCATATAGCGTTATTTCTTTCCAATCTTTAGTAAGGAATAGACAATATTGGGAAATCATCATTGACTTACAAATAAATAGACGACGGGTCTAATACAAAAACCACGAAAAAAATGTCCCAAGTCAACCTATTCGAAATTTAAATTGTAATGTCATCGCAGTATCGCGCTGTCGGTAGAACAAATGAAGACTAAAGCGGAGTGTCGCGCTCTGTATACGATTTTAGCGCCTTACAAGTGCGGACACTTTTTAGCGCGGACCCGACGTCCATATAATTGTAAGTCAATGGAAATCATTCATTGTTTTAATCACTTAGGCAATAATCTTAGAGGATGGAAAAAAATAAAAATAATACATTACTTGGTTGACAGGTTTATCATGGTACCAATAAGAGTAATATTATAAGCTTACTTTAAGCTTACATTGAAATAAGACTGTTTTTGGAAAGGTTATGGTAGGCCCGGCATAATGTTACAACCGGCATAAGTATACCTGTATTTTCAGAAACAGGTACCATTAACTTTAATACGATACCTGCTCTTGAGTTACAACCGGTATAAGTACACCTGTGTTTTGAAAAAATGGTTTCACTAACAATTTATTTGGTGTTTATATATTTTTGTAACATTTGTATACCTGTACTAATTATACTATTGAATAATAATAATACTAATTTAAATGCAATTAAATAATGAACATGATTTACGACCGCAGACCAATGTAGCAATCTGACATTATCGCGAGAACCACTATTGAGTACCGGTATCTTTAGGTAAATTTATCAGGAATCGAAATGGAAAATACCAGTATAATACACGTATTTTTATACCGATACCGGTGTCAAGTTTAGCTTAGATAAAGAAAACGTATCCCACGTTATAGTTCGAACTGTTCTATACAAAGTAACATTTAGACATGCATTTATCCACACAGGTTCACATTAGAATAGCGTCTCCTCCCCTCAAGTACCCGTGCTACATGGGCATCAACATTCCCACTCGTGAGGAACTCATCGCAAACAAGATGGACACCTACAAACTCGCTAAGCATGTTGGTTAGTATTTTTTTAATTCACAAATTTCTTTTTTCGTATTTTTATTTTTTATTTTTTTTATTTTATTAGTAAATAAATATGGCTGTTTACAAAAATAACAGAAATGACCTAAATATAAAGTTGGCATAGTGTTCATTGGAGACTTAGAGGATGGAAAAAAAATGGAAGTATCGATCTATCAGTGTTGCCATTTTGTCTTCTTTAATTATACCTAAACTGAATCGATAACTTATTTATTTGAATCTGATAGTTATTGCAAGTAGTAATAAGCATTTTAAACTAAATATTTGAACATAATTGACAATGATCAAACAGCACAAAGAACTGAGACGCTTTTAACCAATTGAGAGAGTGGCAACGGCATGGCAACGGGCACTGGTTCGAGTCCAATAAAATCGAAAGAATTTTTGTTTGTGAATTTAACGACCTCTGTGGTCGAGTGCCTTGTATACCGGTTTTCATGGTGTCGCCATCTCTGAGGCCCCGGGTTCGATCCCCGGCCGGCTCTGTGTAGAAAACCACGGAAAAAAACAATGGAAGCGCGATAAGCCTCGATTACTATCAGAACCTATCTATTACAGTTAGAAATGACCATAATTGCCATACCGTACAAAGCGATAGACTGATGAAATGACGGACTGAGCTCAAGTAGGCACAACTGTGCCTACTGTTGGCACGCGTGTGACACTAACTAACCACTTCTACTGTATTTATAGAAAAACTAACTTTTCTATATTGTTTTGGGTCTGGGTGTTTGTGGTACCGTTGTTGTTTCCGATTTCCATAACACTTAAAATTTATTATCTAATAAAATAATTGTTGAGCAACAAATATTGTGTGCAATTAAAGACGCGTCTTTGAATTTTAATTAGAGGAACATCGGCAGATAATTAATAGTTTAAACGGCAATACTACCAAATTTTAGACAGATATTTGGAAGTTGTTTTTTTAAAGTTACAGTGACCTAGAAATACGGTATCAATACCACTAGGCTGTCTGCCCCTTTCTTCCTATTAAGGTGCGAAGTGTTCTCCCACATTGGCTATCACTGTCGAATATTTACAGGTGCGGACAGTCTCGAATACTTAAGTGTAGAGGGATTAGTGAGCGCAGTGCATTACAACATGAAGTCGACGCCGAGCGATGGGGTGGGGGGACATTGCACCGCCTGTCTCACCGGGGATTATCCCGGCGGTGTGCCAGAAGATAATATGGACTGGTGATCGATTGCATTTTGGATTCTGATAATCTAATACGTCATTGTGCAACTGGAAGGTTTTTAAATCATCCACTTTATCCTGAATAAACGTGACTTACAATTTTGACGCGACTTAGTTCAAAATGTCACGTTCTACGTTGTACTACGCCCAAACTGCAAGTTACGCTTATTTGAGATGGTACTTGACGAAGTAGTATAAAGTGACAACTTTGTATTATCTGGTTTCGTTGCTTTTATACTGGGTTATTTCTAATGGATTTGAAACTCTTAATTAACTATGTGTTGCATTCTTAACATCGATATAAAGTAAAGGACAGCGTTATAGTTGAAGATTTTTAAAAAAAGCTTGAAACAAACTTTGTCTTGTTGTTAAACGACGAAATGGAAATGACGTTTTTTGAATTTTCATATCACGCCTTCAATAAGAAAGTGACTAAATAGAACTGTGACTATGGGACTTGTAAATTCATTTAAATATTTTATAGAATATCTTCACTTGCAGTGCCCTATTCAGGGTCATGTACTACACTCTAGTCGTAATGTAACACATTTGTAGCAGCTGACTATGTACCACGCCAGCATATCAAGCTACACATTGACGTATCTTGTTCTGTTGCAATGGAGGCAATTTTCGAACAAAAATGTGTAGTCTGATGTGCCGTTGTCCGTACATGTGACAATAAATAAATACAATACAATATACTAAAGAGACCGAAACGTTGGTTTACTTGAATAAACAAAAATATGCGACGTAGATCTGGAACAAAATAGTTTTATTTCCATTGTGTTGGGAATCGTGAAAACCCAAGAATTCGTATGACAAATAAATATAACATCTATTTGATGTAAAAAATAAAACGTTTTTATTTGTAAGTCGCTAAAAATATTGCTTTTGATTTTAGCCACTCTGTTATTCAGGATGTTATTTTTAATGTATGAAACACAGCCACGGCTTGGAACATCGTTACTTTCAGGAACCGGTACTACTCAACTTGTTGTAATACCGGTACTGAGATGTTACCGATATAAATTACACCTGTATTTTTAGGAAGTGGTGCCATTAATCTTGATAGATCCAAGCGTTACTTTGCAGAAGTCATGTTCTGGAAGTAAATTAATTTGCAACTCCGCGAACCCAAATTATTAAATTAAGAACCCAAAAAATTGGGATTCGCGGAATAGCAAATTGATTTACTTCCGTTTTTATTACCATTAACCTTACTACGATTCCGGTAATTGAGATACTACCGGTATAAATTATATGTGTATTTTTAAGAAAAGTTTTCACTAACCATATTGTATCGGTATCAATTAGAGGTATATATAGGTAGGAATATATCAGATTTCCATTGGCACCGATACGCAAATATCGGAATGGAAAATACCAGTACAATATATGTATTTTATATACCGGTACTAAGCCCTGGGTATTGCTACAGACAAGAGACTACTAATGATGATATTGTAAATCTGACATCCGATAAATTGTACGTAACCTTTTTAGTTGATAGAAAATTTTGGCTTTTTTTGTTGAAACGCTCTCTACGGTGTTAATACTGATTTATATATGAAATCTAAATAGATACGTGCTCTTGAAACTTACACACAACTCAAAATTGTTTATTTTAATAGAATGTCGTATTGAGAGAAATAACCTGTATATAAGTACCGATTCCGTATCAATCTCTAAGGCATTTTTTTGGACAATACTATTTATACTTACAGGCACATTCATATCACT